CTGCAGAGCTGCCTCCCCCCGCCCTCTGTGGCCTGGCTAGGCAGAGTTAATGAGACCTAACCCCAGAACTGTAAACAGATAGTTGACTAGTTCACATCCCTATTGCCTTGTATAGTTTCTCTATTGGACATAATAGCCTTAGCCGGGCTTGATGATCTCTTCTAAGTCTTTACATTTCAGAGACTGTGTGTTTTATAATATGAGAGGCAGAGATCCAAGCAAAATAGGTAAAAGTGGAGTGGGGAGACATAAGTATTTATCTAATTCAGGCTGCATAATTACTATTTTGCTTCAGATCCACATCATGGAAAATCAAGTATTAGAATCCTCTGAAGAGAGAACATTCCAGTACCAGAGTTCTCTTCCTTCGCTACCAGTTCCTGCGCTTGATGAATCTTTGAGGAAATACCTTGATGCAGGTATAGCTGTTATAATTGCTTTAATACACTTTGTGTTTTTGAGAGGTCTAAATAGGAAATAGGTGCTTGGTTGCTTGTGGCTGCTTTTGTTTGTCTAATGTCCCCATGTAAATAAAGACACTTTATTTTTAAATACACTGAATTTCCAACACTCCGGTCATCTGAAGAAGTGGGCTGTGCCCACAAAAGCTCATGATACCATCTGCATGTTTTGTTAGTCTTTAAAGTGCGACTAGACTAGTTGTTGTTTTTTTAAGTTTTTCCTCTTACAGACTGACTTGGCTGTCCCTATGAAGCTTTTAAAATTTGTATTCCTGTTATTTATACAGCTCCAAAAGCCTGCTTGTGTCTTTTGAGCTATCTGATTTGGCAGGGCTCCTGCACTAAAGAACTTACTAACTATTAAAATATCAGGAACAGATGATAGGGACAAATCAAACAAAATAGATTTGAAATACAGGTGACCCCTGAATTGCGACCGTCCGGCCTGCAACCCTCGCATTTATGGCAAACCTGCTCTGGCCCAGTCAGCTCAGGGTGCTGTTTGCACCACAGGGCCACCTACTGCCCGGCCTAGCTCCTGACTGGCTCAGGGTGCTGTTTGCACCATGCTGTGGGGCTGCCTACTGTCCTGCAGAGCCCCATGGCTCCAGGAGACTACAACTCCCAAGAGGCAAAGTGGATCAGGAACGGAACCCGCATTCATAACATTGCCCCTATGGGCAATAAGGGTTCAAGTTATAACATCTCGACTTATGATGGTTCTCCAGGAATCAATTAGGTTGTAAATGTGGGGCTCACCTGTACGATACGCAATTTGTGTAGCACAATTTGTGTATCTTATTTTGATTTTAGGGTGCTGTGTAGACATGCCCTAAGTTACAACTCATAAGCTACAAATGCAATCATTCTACTAATCAAATCACTCTGAATAGCTCAAATGTCACCCTGACTTGAGCTAGAGTAGCTTGAGTGCACTAACTCAAGCTGTCTGTTGCTGTGAAGACAAGCCTTATATTGGTATGGTTAACTGAGGGTATGACTATATCTAAAAATCCTACAGCAGCAATGAGGTGGCTGTCATGTATGTAGGTACCTTAGCATTGGAAGGATTTTGCCCATTACTATAGTAAATGTACTGTATTGAGAGGTGATATTGAGTGAACAAAAGATCTCTCCATTGACCTTGTTTAGTCTATATTTGGGGTGAGGGAGGTAGGTTAGCTTAAATGCATCACACAGAGCATAATATTTAGCTAGGTCTACCAAAGGTGTAGGTGAAGAGCAGACCTATGGCTTTTATGCTACTCCTTTTGATGCACAGCGCTAAATTAATGATCATATTGTTGAAAAAAATAGTAAAATGTCTCAAACATTTTTGTTGCAAAAACAAACCCATTTTATTTTCTCCCTGTAGTGCAGGCAGTTCACTAGAATTAAAGATGTGCTGTTATTGTGGATAGATTGTAACATGGTAGAGTGGGATACTAAAAATGAAGTTTGTAAATCAAACCTGCCTCTCCCAATTAATAAATAAACTACATCTGAATGAATTAAAGCTCTTTCAGATCATTTACATGCTTTTGCTCTTGAATTGCTGCATACAGCCCAGAGTTTAACTTGGCAGATCTCAGCATTATTAATAAGGTTAATTCAACTGTTTACTATCCTACCCAGTCACCCACATAAATCCCAAAAGGTCAAACAAGATAAGTATATTTATCAGTGTAGTACAATAAAACTTTGAGACAGAGATGCAGCTTAGGGTCCTGATTCTGCAATGAACTCCATGCAGGTACAGATCATGTGCCAATATGTGTAGTGTTCCTTTCTGTGCTGGAGCCCCACAAAATGTGTGTCTGTTACAACTCTGAGCTTGCAGTCCTGACTGTTTAGCACAACTATAGAGCCTTATGCTTTCAGCTCTGGAGGCAGGGTGAATAAAAATTTTATTTTAAAAATATTTACACTTTTGTATGTAATTTATTTCTTTTAAATAATAAACCTGTTTATAATTAACTCTAAATTGAATGCACAGTATGATGCCTGCAGTACTTATAAACTCTTACTATATTTTAAATATAAATATATGCTGAATCTGTAAGCCCCTGTCAAAAACTTTGACTTAAAAATGTGTTCTTTTTATTTTTAAAGAAAAAAATCAAGGGAAAAAAAATCTAACTTTTGAGATCAAGCTTTATGAATATGGCACGTTTGGTCATGTGCTTCATTAGAGGCTTGTTTTGTTACCATCTTAATATAGCTTGATAGAAATCATGAGCAAAAAGTTTTCTAGTAAATAATCTTTTCTTCTCCATTTTTAAAATACTAAAATGTACAGTAATTTTAATCTGTTAAGAATCTGAAAATATTAAGCTAAATCACGACTTCGGAAATGTATATAGGTATGAGTACCTTTTTAGGTGTTTAGTGGTTAGATCAACCAATGAAGATGCATCTGTAGTTAAAAAAAATAACTGAAGTACAATTGGAGAAGTTGATTAGAATTGATTATTTAAATTTAGGCTTTCTGCATAATGATTTAAATCCGTCTACCCTGCCTGGAAGTCCTCCATTCAGTGCTTGGTATGTTGGTTGTGTGTGGAAAAAATCCTCCCCCC